GCACCAGGGCCGACAGCGCGGGGTGGCGAGAGAGTTGATTCTCGGTCGGCGGCTAAGTCCGAACCCTACCCCCTCGCCGACCCACGATTCGGGCAGGTCGACGGGCGGCGGGGGTGGCGTTTGAAATTTGTCGAACACGCGGCAAAATCCGAACCCTACCCCCGCCTCCCATCGATTCAGGAGAATCGATGGTTGGTGGAGGTAGGGTTCGGATGTCGCCACCTACTCGGGCTCGTGGCGGCACTCTTCGAAGGATGCCTGCCGTACTGCGCGGCCTCAAGTTTGAGCTTCTCTCCGTCGTGAGAGGGTCGAGTCTGGCACTGTCTGTGCAGTCCACGAGGCTCACGGACAGAGCGAATCACAAGCGTGTGCCAGACCAAGTAGTTGGTGGCATGTTGCAGATGCTCCTAATCACCCCCCTTTGGTGGTTCCCGATCTGAGAGTGCCGCGGCGCCCGATCATCCTCCAGAGCCTCCGGATCTCAGCGATTCTCGATGGGTCCTCACCCGATATTATCTTCGTCCTGGCTTCGTCGTACACTGCTCTGGCGTGCCAGAACCAGCATGAGCATGCCTTTTCGGCGGTCTGCGCGGACTTTCTGCATCGGCGCTGGGTTTCTTCCTGGCGGCGCCTCTGGTGCCGCCCCTGGCGCGCTCCGCGAGCCAGGGAGGGGGGCCCGGTGCCGATCCAAGGAATCCGAGCGAAACTCCAGAAGCCAGTGGTGTGCACACATTTCTCCTCCTAGTCTGTGCGCCATGGCCTGCTACTGTGCCAAAAGCTGCCGCAGCATCGCCAATCTACCTCTGAACAAGTTTGGCATCTCTGGAGAAAAGGCTGCTGCTCCAGAAGGCCAGGCTGCATACCAGCCGCGGCACTGTTGGCAATGCGATTCGCAGCCTAGTTACCTTTCGCCAGCCGTCGCTCATACCTTCATCAGGACAGCGCTTCCATGTCATTGTAGTGTTTCACCCTGTGCAGTCTTTGCCCAAAGAGGGAATTGGTCGCTGCTAGCCGTGACGTCAATTGAGCCCAGCCCATATCTTGCGACACGGCCGCGGCTACTTACTCTGCTGCACCGGAAGTTGGGACCAAGTGGCGTTCTGTATTCGGCCGGCAAAAAAGATTCAAATCCAGGCTCACATACGCATAGCGCTGACATCTGCCGCGTTCAGTTCAAGGTCGTACAGTGGCCGCGGTACGTACAGCTGCCTGGTGAGATCCTTTGACACCTGGCTGGTCACGCCAAAGCGTCGAACCTGGCTCCGGCCTTGCTGCTCACACCAAATCGTTCCAGAGTCAAGCCCCGTAACAGCATGAGGGTCTTCTTCGAAAGCGGCGCCCAAACGAATGGGCGATGAGTATGGAGAGTTTTCTCGCCATCTTTGAAGATGAGTCGGGCATGTTCTCGCCATCTTTGAAGTTCCGTCCCCGAGAAGTGAATGTCTCAGGTAGATTCGGTTTTCGGGCAGATCCGCATGCGGTGACGTACCGCGGCGATGTCCACACGATCAGCCAGCCGGTTCGTCGTATCCCGCAACACGGGCGCTCACCATCATCCCGATGTTCTGAGTGATCTGAACAGGCAGGCGCCCTCTCTGCTGCTTGGTCAGGCCAGGATGGCTCAGGATACTACGCGCTGCCGAGACATCCAGCACTTCGCGAGGTTAGATGAACTTGGCGGCCGCTGCGTTGGCCGGCGGGGCGTGCCAGGGCCCAGTTCCAGCAGCTTCTCCTCGACGACTGCCCGGGGGGTCTCCTCCTGGAGGGCCCCGCAGCCCCGCAGGGGGCTCGCGGAGGGGGAAGGGGCCACCAGCGGCCGGCCGCGCAGCCCTGGGCCCGCACCCCCAGGCGATCGCCAGCATGGATCGAGGGGGCGTGGATCAGCGGCGGGGCCCGTGTCCACGGGAAGTGGCGGATTGCCGCCGCCGAGCGAGGCGGCACGGGCCGCCATTTTGGGGGAGGGCACCTCCCACGATCGATGGATCAGGCGCCTCGCGCGCCACATCCGCTGGTCGCCAGTCCACGCTTGCGCGCCCCCGGCCACCCGAGCCCCGCGCTTGGCAGCTCTCGTGTCAGGAGGGGAAAAACACACAGACACAATTAATCTTCGAGTCCCAGGATGGGAAAATATGAAAATATGGGAAGTGGGGGGGGAGGCAAAACCCCAGAAGATATAGGAAAATATGGGGAATCCTGTTATTTGTAAGTATTTATTTGTGTGTCCTGGGGCCCCTTCATCGTGGGCAGGGTGCCCTCTCCCAGAGGCACAGCTGCGGGAGATGGGCCACGGCCGGGTGGGTGCGCAGCGGGCCGTTGCGCACCCGAGCCCTTGCCAGCGGAGGGCGGGGCCTCGGGGGGAGGAGAAGTGCTACCGACAGGGAGTCGCGCCCGTCCTTCTGCAGGGGGGGAGTAGTCAAACATAGTAAAAGCCTGGTCTGGGGACGATGTCGACAGTACTGTTGCGCATGCTTGGAGTACAGTGCCGTTTCTTACACATGCTCCGCGTGCGGACCATGTATAAAACATGCAGGGATTTAGTGTTAAGAACAATGATGAGCTCATGCATAAGTTCATTCCTGAATTAATCATGTATTATAAGTCCAATGTTTTTTGTTGAACAAATCCTGTGTATAAAAACTGCCCTGTATTTGTTGACTATTGTTTATTTTTCGTCCAAAATCCGCCTGTTGGGGGACAGGCCCGACCTAATACCAACGCCACCAGGGGGGCCACCGCCAGAGAGGGGGTCCACAAGGGCCTCCCCGAGCTGGAGGCTGCTGGGGAGGTCTCGAGCGAGAGGGGGAGACCACGCCACCGGGAATACCCCTCCCTGCTCCTCGCATCTCTCCTCGCCCTGGTGGTGTTGGTGTCGCCTCTTTCCTTCTCCTCGGGGCCCAGGCGAGCCTTCCCGAGTGAGCTCTGGAGGGCCAGGAGGGTCCAGCTGCGGCTCTCGCGGCCTGAGGCGGGCAGCCACCGGGGGCGGGCGGCTGGGAAAACAGGGATGGGCAGGAGGGGCAGATACGGGGGGGGGGGCAGGAGGGCGGAGGAGGGGCGAGGAAGCGGGGAGTGGAGGGAGGGTGAAGGATGATGAGTGAGAGAGCGGGATAGAGAGAGAGAGAAAGAGAGAGAGAGAGAGAGCGAAGTCTGGCAGCCGGACCCCACGGTCCAGCCGAAGTGGCCCCGCGGGGGAAGGCCACTTCCCGAGCACGCTCCTGGGCTGGTGCGCGTGGGGTGCCTCAGAGATGTCTGTGCCCTCCCCTCTCCCCAATCAGGCTTCTGGTGCAAGCGGTGCCCGTGCGTGGGCGCTGGGGCATCGCCCGTGATTGTGAGGCCGCAGACTCGGTGGGACTCATTCGGTCGTACAGCACGGTAGCCTGGTGTGCCCTCCTCATCCCGTCTTGGTGCCGATCGGCGTCGAGAGGCGTCTGGGAGTCGATGAGGCAGCGCCGATGTGGCGCCGAGTCGCATCGGATAGCGTCAAGTTTGGCGTCGACGAGCGTCGGCCCGCAGGAGCCGACTGGGTGGTTTAGGGGAGGCTCCCATGAGCTGCCGCAGAAGACTCGGGCCCAGGCTGCAGGGCGGCCCCGAGGAGGCGTGGCCAGTACGCGGCGCATGGCGCCCGGGTCGGCGGCAGTCTCGCCTGGCACGAGGCGTTTTTTTTGCGGTGGCGCAGTTCTGGGCGCCCCTTCAGCGAGTGTTAAGTCGGGCCTGTCCCACTACAGGGGGATATTCAATGAAAAATAAAAAAAGATACAAAAGATACCCCAAAAAGGTCAAACATATTCAAAACATAGTCCCCAGACTATTTTCTGGAGTATTGTTTGATTAGTTTTGGTGTATGTCTTTATGTGTCGTCGAAAATCCGCCTGTAGGGGGACAGGCCCGACTTAAAGCGAGTGCCGAAGAACTGCGAGGATGGTGCGCGTCCCAGAGGTTGCGTAATTTGTTGAGACCTCCTGTCCAGTCCTACGCCGTTATGGAACCGACGGGCCAAACCTCGCATGATCGTATCGGGTACTTTGTTGATCGCCTTTTACAGGTTTGGGCCCGCTTGCAGTCTACACTCGTTAATAAAAACACGTTTCAGGTTTCGATGCAGTTTCGCTGAGACGTGCGCACGTCAAATATAGCCGAGGACTGCGGATATCGGTCCCCAGTTACATATCTTGTTTATGGCCTTGACATTGTTAGTTTTGCCACGCATGTTGATGCATCCGCAAGCGATATGGCTTTGATCGTCGGGCAAGAGTACTCGGGAGCGTCGGAACGCATCCCTCTTGGGTGACGGCCCATCAGGGATGTGCAGAGGATTGGCAGGGGTGTGGCAATCTGGATGCCGACCGCAGGAGAAGGTCTCCAAGAGCGGCGTCACCGTTCTCTGGGCCGGATGGGAGGAGCCCCGGCGCTCCTGGGCTTCGCATAAATGGGGCGGCGATAAATGGGGGGGGCAGCGAGGGCTGCAGAGATGGTGCATCGAGGGCCCCTAAAGGGGCCCTTCATGGCCCACAAGCGGGCCTTTGAGGCCCGAGATGTGCACCCTTCTCTCCCCCCCCCCACGTCCATCGCCGCCCGATGAAGCGGCGCCCGACGCTCGCTGCCTCGTATTGCTGCCTGCAGCCCGGGCGGGAGGAGGAGGAAGAGGCGGAGGAGGAGGAGGAGGCGGAGGAGGAGGAGGAGGCGGAGGAGGAGGCAGAGGAGGAGGAGGAGGCGGAGGAGGAGGCGGAGGCGGAGGAGGTGGGGCGCGGGGACTGCTCTCCTGGAGAGTTCAGGGAGGCCCACGGGATGATCCAGAGGACGCCCCTATACTCTTAAATTTGGAGCTGGGACGCCATCCCGGCGCCTCTGGGGCCGCCATCCTGGTGCCCAGGGGGGGGCCCTCTTGGATGGGCAAATTTTCCACCATCGCTACCACTGGTAGGACGGGGAAGAATGGAGTGTGAGGAGGTCCTCCTCCTCCTTCCCCTCCTCCTCCTCGTCCTCCTCCTCCTCCTCCTCTCTCCTCCTCCTCTCCTCCTCCTCCTCCTCCTCCTCCTCCTCCTCCTCCTCCTCCTCCTCCTCCTCCCTCTCCTACCTATGGTAAGACGTGGTGGAAAATCGGCCCATCACTCTTTGGCCTTGTTGGAGCTGTCTGGCTGGTTGGCCCTCTTCGGGCCCTCTGCGACGCCAAAGCCCGTCTGCAGCTGTCCAGCCGCCTCTGGCCCGGTTTGCGGTCGCTGTCCTGACATTGTTCCTCTTCGCTATCCTCCTCTTCCTGATCCCCTTTGGTCCTCCTCCCCCTCCTAAACCTCCTCTTTCATTCATCCCTTTCCCTTAACTATGCATAACTTCTCCTTGTCGCACCCCGAGACCAGTTGTTAGGCCGGGCCGAGCGTTTCGCTTGAGATTTCCTCACCACCGATGATTTTGAAACTGAAAAAGTGACAACCATTTCACAGATAGAGGGCGGGTGGTTTTCAACATGTGGTTCTAGCTTCAGCGCCGCGCACATTCGTTTTACAAGCTTACGTTTCACGGATTGAGGGCGGGCCGTTTTCAACATGTGGTTCTCGCTTTGGTGCCGTACATCTCAGTTTTTACACATTTGGAGGAGTTTCGCGGATTGAGGGCGGGTGGTTTTCAAAAAGTGGTTATCGCCTCAGCGCCGCGCACATTCGTTCAAAGAAGTTGCAAGAGTTTCGCAGAGTGAGGGCGGTTCAATTTCTAAATGTGGCTCTTGTTTTAGCGCCGCCCGCATTCGTTCGAACACATACAAAGGTTTCGCACATCGAGGGCGGGTCGTTTCAAACATTTGGTTCTCGCCTTGACGCCGCGCACACTCTTTTCACACATGTATAGTATTTCCGAGGATTGAGGGCGGGTCGTGTTCAGAAGGTGGTTCTCGCCTTAGCACCGCACACATTCCGTTTAAAAAGTACCAGATCTTCACGGGTTCTCGTGATCAGCGTTCCGCAAGTAGTGTTTTGCAAGGGTTTTAGATTATGTGGGCGCAACAGTTACATTGATTCGCGGTGTTGCAGTCCCAAAAAGTGGCGTTCTGGCACGATTCCGAATCGCCAAAACGCAGCAGTCAATCTGATTCGTGGCGTTGAAATCCCGAGAACAATGTTTTGGCGCGTCTCGGGGTCTTCAAGCGGTTGTCTTCCAACGAGGCAGTTTCCTGAATGAGCGTGATCCGGTGTAGGAGCCTATGAAGAGGGAGCTTTTGGGGGGGTAAATTCCAACATCGTTGATGACTCTTGGGTTTACAGTGGTCCTCCTTCTCCCACCCCTCTTCCTCCTCCTCCTCCTCCTCTTCCTCCTCCGCCGAGTCAGCAGCGCGGAGCGGCGGGAAGAGCTGGCGGCGATGACACCAGTGCTAGAGTCGATAGCTCGAGGAGTAGGAGGGGGAAGGAAGAGCAGCAGGGGACAACGGCCAAGTTGTGCGCGTTCGCGCCATAAGTGACCCATTCCCTCCCATTGCGCTGACTTTTCCTCCATCCGCCGCCGAATGTCATTGCGGACCTAGGCCCGCCCCAAACGACCCCACCATGCCATGCGCAGTCAGGATGGGGCGCTGTGTACATCGGAGGAGGATGAGGAGGAGGACGAGGTGGCGGATGAACATGGGGATGGGCACGGTGGAAACGGAGCAGAAGGATGGGGAGGAGGAGCCGCAGCGCCAGCAGGAGTAGGAGGAGAAGGAGGAGCAGAAGGGCCAGCATCAGGGGTGCGCGGAGGAGTTGAACAAGGGGGCGACAACGACGAGGAACGACTTGGACCCCCGAAGTCTGTCCGCTTTCGGAAGAGAGCGCCAAGATCCAGTCGGACGCAGACAAACGCCTTCACGGGACGCCACAGCGCGGCGGCAACACCACTATGACATATCATTGCTTGACATTTGAGATTCTCTGCGCAGGAAAAAACATGCCCGTCAGAATAGGGAAGAAAGGGGGACCCGCTCTGACAGAATCCGTGGAGAGGGGAGAGTAGTATTCATATTTAGGGAACTTGTCGAGGAAGGAGAACAGAACAATGGCCGAGGACGGATACTTCGCGCTCGGGTTGAATAATTCGTTGGCTGTTGAGCCGGCCGGAGAGGCTCGGTGCCTCCACCCATCGTTGGAGAGTCAAGCTTCTGCAACGAAAACGTTCTCTCTTCGTGGAGGCCTCGTCGAGTGAGGAGGGTGCGGGAAGAGGAGTGGGGGATGCGAAGAGTAGGAAGGAGTTATCTGATATCAGCGGCGTCGGGGTCCCCGGGCCCAGGGTGAGCTCACTTTTCCCAAACTCCCTCCACCCCTCTCCCTCAAGACCGGGTACACACTTTCGCCCCAGGGTCGGGGGCCTCTTTTCGGCGCCTTGGTAGATTTATTTCGGCGTGAAGGGTCGTCCAAGACACAGTTCCGGTATACAAGCGGCCCCAAAATTGCTTGTGGACGGCCCCAGACAGATTTCAGATGCTCCCAAAAAGGCTCCAAGATGCTCCCTAGGAGCGTCCAGGATTGCCAACATCGCCAACTTCTTTTCGGAAAACATATATTTTAAGCATATTCGTTTCTTCGATCTTGCAGCGTCCAAGACGGCTCAAGAGGCCCCCAAGATCGCCCCAAGACGGCCCCCAAGACGCCCCCAAGATCGGTCCAAGAGGCACCCAAGACGGCCAAAGATGCTCCCAAGAGGGGCAGGCCAGAGTTACATCTTGAGCCCTCCGCCCCAAGTGGAACCCCCCGACCGCCAGCAGGGCCCCAAGATGCTCCCAAAAGGCCCCCAAGAGGGTTAAAACACTGGCTCCATGAGTCGCCCGAGACGCATGCCCAGAGACCCCAACAGGCTTCCGACCACAACCGCAGATATACCGTCCGACCTACCTACTGACTTACCTACCTACCGACCCACGTACCAGCTCATACACATGTATAGAGAGAGAGAGAGAGAGACATAAGAGAGAGAGAGAGAGAGAGAGCCAAAAACAAGAAAGAGAGAGCGAGAGAGATATAGAGAAAATAAAGAGATAGAGAAAGACAACAAAATAAATAGAGAGATTGAGAGATAGAGAGAGATGGGGAAGGGGTCCCGGGGGCTCTGCGGAACACTACGTTTGTAGACGGCCGTTTTGGACCCGCCGGGGAGCGCCAACACGCGTCAAATAATGGAAGGAGGGGCATCGAGATGGCCCAAGAGACGTCCGAGGGGGCTTCAAGACGGCTCCGAAACCCTCTAAGAGAGTCCAAGACTGCCCCAGGGCGTTCCAAGATAACCAACCACGGTTTCACGACAGCACAAGAGGGCCTCAAGGCGGCCAAGAGTCCTTCGAACGAAGTTCCACGAGGCGTTCAGGAGGAGAGCGATCTCATTTCCTGCGGTTCGTCTAAGGTGCTCCGTGTTCTGGCTTCTCCATGCGTCCGATGTGCCAAGACAGCCCACGAGGCCCCAGACATCGGCAGCCCAAGACGGCTCCCAAAGCGGGGCTTCAAGGGAGGTCCAAGAGGGCTTCGAGGGCCTTCCGCTAGTCACTGGTCCTACCTTACTTCGGTCGGCCTGGTTGAAAAAGTCCGTCCGCTGGAGTGGCCGCTTGAAACTGCGCCCTATCAGCCTGCCGCGTGCGCGCTGGTTCAGCATCCGCGCGTCAGGACGCAACGACACGCTGAATGGCTGGTTGTTCGATTGCAGCGACATGCCTTGGTTTGCGTCAGGGGCGTCTGGGGGCATGTGGGGTGTCCGCGGGGTTTGAAACAGCATTGGTTTGGCGGTGCCTGTCCCATTGGGGGACAGGCACCACCAGTCCGTTGCGTTTGGGCCTGCCCGCGGGAGCGTCGTTGCAATCTCGCGCTCCCCCGGGGGCTGCTGAGGACGCGTTCGGGGGGGGCCCCTGGGGGCCGCGCGTGCGCTCGAGAGGGATTTCGGCCGAACGCCGCCTCGACTAGGCACGGATCTGTCTCCGGTAGTCGCGTCGGCGACGGCGCCCCCCGGCGCGCGCGCCCGGCGGGTTCTCCAGGGAGCGGCCCCTGGCGAGTGCTCCTGGCGTTCGGGGCCCCAGGCGTTTGGGGCGAGCGTGGGATTGCAGCGGCGCCCGCCCGGGACACCAGGGCGCATTTTGCGCATCGAGCCCCAGACGCTTGATTGGGCGCCTTCGCGGGCGCACTTCCGAACGAGCTACTCTGGCCCGAGAGCGGCCAATGCGCGGTCGGCCGCTCTGCCGATTGGAACGCGCGCGCCTTCGGTGCCAGCGGGTGCCCGGGGAAGTCAACGCCGCATCTGCGCGCGTGCAACCGCCGCCGGCTGCGGCGCGTCGCTCCCGCCGCCCCTGACCAACCCGCCTGGTTAGGGTACGCGTAGCTTTCGCGCTCGAGAAATGTATGTTAGGCCGGGCATGTCGCTCTACAGAATAGATTGAAGCAAACAGTTGAGAATCGCATGG